CCCAAACCCTAAACCCTAAACCCCAAGCCCCAAAGCCTAAACACCTTAACCCTAAACCCTAAACCCTACACCCTAAACCCTAAACCCTAAACCCGAAGCCCTGAACCAAACTCGCAAGCCTCCAGGGCGTAGAAGACCTGCAAGTCCCCGCTCGGCTCCAAGACCGTGCTCAGGGTGACCTGAGCTCTAAACGGGTTAGGGGTTTAGGGTTTAGGGTTTAGGGTTTAGGGTTTAGGGTTTAGGGTTTAGGGTTCAGCAGCTCTGGGTCGAGCAATCTCTAGTAGAGCCTCTGTCTGGACTCTAGAAAAAAACCCACCCACCCAGAGAATCCCAAAACATTAAGAAATATAAAGTTCACATTTTTCCTCAGCAAGCCCTGTCCTCCAACCTCATTTATTCATTCTGCTCGTGTTTTTTGTCATTCTGCTTGGTTTCCATTCTGCTCGTATGCGTTTCTTTCTGCTCGTATTCGTTCTTTTTCTGATCTGCTCGTCTCGTGTTCGTTCTCGTTCTGCTCGTATTCATTCTGCTCGTATTCGTTCTCTCTCTGCTCGATTTCAGTCCGCTCGTTTTCGTTGTTTTTCTTCTCGTATTCATTCTGTTCGTATTCGTCTCTCTCTCTCTGCTCGATTTCAGTCTGCTCGTCTTCGTTCTCTCTCTGCTCGTAATCATTCTGCTCGTATTCGTTCTCTTTCTGCTCATATTCATTTTGCTCGTGTTCGTTCTCTTTCTGCTCGTATTTGTGCTTTTGCTGCTCGTATTCGTTCTCTCTCTGCTCCATTTCAGTCCGCTCGTTTTCGCTGTCTTTCTGCTCGTACTGAGTCTGCTCGTACTCGTTCTCTTCTGCTCGTATTCATTCTGCTCGTATTCGTTCTCTCTCTGCTCGATGTCAATCTGCTCGTATTCGTTCTCTTTCTGCTCATATTCATTTTGCTCGTGTTCGTTCTCTTTCTGCTCGTGTTCGTGCTCTTTCTGCGCGTGTTCGTTCTCTCTCTCTGCTCGATTTCAGTCCGCTCGTTTTCGCTGTCTTTCTGCTCGTACTGAGTCTGCTCGTACTCGTTCTCTTTCTGCTCGTATTCATTCTGCTCGTATTCGTTCTCTCTCTGCTCGATGTCAGTCTACTCGTATTCGTTCTCTCTCTCTGCTCATATTCACTTTGCTCGTGTCGTTTTCCCCGGTGACCCTGCCTATTTTTGGCCGTCTTGTTGATTGTGTTTGGCACACTTTAAGCTGCCTGGCTTCCACATGGTTGCTTTCCAATTAGTGCCCCGGTGACCTCGCCTCATGTTGGCTCCTGCTCGTAGGGTTTGATGAGAGGCCTAGAGGTTTGTCGTATGTCCCCTCTCTTCGTGCTCGTAGGGTTTGTCGTATGTCCGTCCCTTCATGCTCGTAGGGTTTGATGAGAGGTCTACAGGTTTGTCGCACGTCCCCTCCCTTCGTGCTCTTAGATTTTGTCGTATGTCGCCTCTCTTCGTGCTCGTCGGCTTTGTCGTGTGTCCCTCTTCGTCTTCTTGCAAAGAATCCCAAGAATTAAGAAACTGAGATTGTATTTTCAGAGGTTTGCCGTATGTCCCCTCCCTTCGTGCTCGTAGGGTTTGTCGTATGTCCCCTCCCTTCGTGCTCGTAGGGTTTGATGAGAGGTCTACAGGTTTGTCGTACGTCCCCTCCCTTGGTGTTCTTAGGGTTTGTCGTATGTCCCCTCCCTTCGTGCTCGTCGGCTTTGTCGTATGTCCCTTTCCTTCTGCTTCGCGCTCTTAGGGTTTGTCGTATGTCCCCTCCCTTCGTGCTCGTCGGTTTTGTCGCATGCCTCTTGTCTTCGCGCTTGCTTTCCCCAGACCGAAGGTAGAACCAAAAGTGTTGGTCCGGATTGACAAAAAATGTTTTGTTTTCCCCCCACCCCACCCTCCAACCATTCCAGTTCGAGCCAATCCCCAACCCACCCTAGAACCAACTGCCCGTATTCGTTCTCTCTCTTGCTTGCGACGCCCTCATCCAGGTTTCCAACCCCAGAATGGGGGTCCGGAAGTTGCTTTTCCCACCCCACCCTCGGACCACCCAAGATGAGAAACACTAAGAAGGGGCCGCCGCATTCCCGGCCCCGCAAAGCCTTCATCTGGAGGCCAGAAGAGGGAAGGGGGCGGGGGGGGTAGGTGGGGGGTGGGGGGGGGTGGGTGGGGGGGGGGGGGGGGGGTGGGGGGGGGGGTGGTGGGGGGTGGGGGGGGGGTGGGTGGGGGGGGGGGGTGGGGGGGGGGGGGGGGGGGGGGTGGGGGGGGGGGTGGGGGGGGGGGGGGGGTGAGGGGGGGGTGGGGGGCAAAAAAAAGGCAAAAAAGCCGTGGCCATTGGCAAAAAAGCCGTGGCCATTGGCAAAAAAGCCGTGGCCATTGGCAAAAAAGCCGTGGCCATTGGCAAATGCCACTTGCCAATGGCCACGGCTTTTTTGCCAATGGCCACGGCTTTTTTGCCAATGGCCCCGGCCCCCATTAAGGTTGGGGCCCAACCTTAATGGGGAACGTGGCCATTGGCAAAAAAGCCGTGGCCATTGGCAAAAAGCCCGAAAAGTTGCCAATGGCCACGGCTTTTTTGCCAATGGCCACGTTCCCCATTAAGGTTGGGGGGCATTTTGTGCGAATTGGGTTTGAAAAACCCATTTTGGCGACCAACCTTAATGACATTGGTGGCCATTGGCAAAAAAGCCGTGGCCATTGGCAACTTTCCCGTGGCCATTGGCGAATTTGCCAATGGCCACGGCTTTTTTGCCAATGGCCACGGCTTTTTTGCCAATGGCCACGGCTTTTTTGCCAATGGCCACGGTTTTTTTGCCAATGGCCACGTTCCCCATTAAAGTTTAAATTATTATATGAAAGAGAGGGTTTAGGGTTTAGGGCTCATAAGAGGAGGGCGCGCGCCCTCAAGCAGCTCCTGCATGGGGGAAAATGAGCCCGAGTTTGGGCGTGCAGCGTATTCATTGGGAGGCTGGGGTTCACGCTAGGGGTTTAGGGTTTCGGGCTTGATGGTTTCCACGCCGCCAGCGCGAAGCTGGGGTTGGGGCGGCTTCCACGGTCTCCACAGTGGTGCCGTTGACGCCCAGCATCTTGCAACAGGTTGAGGGAGGGAGGGGGATGGTCAGGGGGACTCCCCCAGAAACTAGCCCGCAAGCCATAAAACGTAGAAAGCAAGCTTTGGAAAGAAGACCCAGCTCCTGCCCGACCCTTGTCTCGAGTGTTGGGTTTTGGGCCCGAGGTCTTTCGGGTTTTAGCCTAAACCCTAAACCCTAAACCCTAAACCCTAAACCGGGGGTTTTAGGCTTTAGGGTTGAGTAGCTTGCCAGAGTCTAAAGGAAACTCGAGCCGCCTCGAGTTTCGGGACCTTCTTGGGTTTCAGGCCTTTCTGAGGGGGTGTTTCTGGGGGTGCGCCTCATGTTTTTCAAGAGTGTTCCAGGCATCGACCCAACCCTATACCCTAAACCCTATAGACCCTAGACCCTAGACCCTAGACCCTAAACCCTAAACCCTAAACCCGCAAATCCCTGAGGCCCTGACCTCCGCAGGCATGCATAAAGGTACCTGCGCCAGTGTTTGAGGCTGTGTGTTTTAATGGAGGGTGAACTTTCAGCACCTGTAGTAGATACCTTGGGATGTTCCCCCTTATACTAACAGTCCTTACTAGGGGGTACTATAATCCCTATTGAGGACTGTTAGTATAAGGGGGAACATCCCAAGTAGTACCCACAAAGGGCTCAACAGCAGGGGCGCAGGGCGTACGTTTAGAGCACAAACGGCCGAGGCCTGAACACCAACTGCCAGGCCTGAAAAGATGAAGATCTCCGGGAACCCTAAACCCTATAACCTATAACCCTAAACCCTAAAACCCTGAACCCCAAACCCTAAAAGCCTAAAACCCTGAACCAAGACCCCCTGCCATGCACAGGTGCTCGTGTTCCTGCCCAGCAAACCCTGAACCCCTACATGGCCCGAGACGCAAGGAATTCAAGAGGGCATTCCGTGGGGTGAAGGGTTTATAGGGTTTAGGGTTTGAGGTTTAGGGTTTAGGGTTTGGGGTTTAGGGTTTAGGGTTTAGGCCTTTCTGGAACTCAGAGCTGAACATAAGAAGCGGAGCACCTCAACCCAGCGCTGGGCTTCGCATCGGTATTCGAAGAGTGGCTGCCTCAGGAGCTGAAGTCTGAACCCTAAACCCTAAACCCTAAACCCTAGACCCTAAACCCTAAACCCTAAATCGCTTCCGTGTTCACCAATCAGGATTCAAATCGCGGAGGGTCTCATGGATTCAGGGCGTGGAGGGAGCATGATGTAAGGGTTTTGGGCTCGGGCGGATTGTATTCGGGAGTGCCCACCAAACCTCGCCCGCAAAGATCGCCAGGAAGTTCTGAGCTCTTGGCCATGGAGGCTTGCACTCGCCTAGGTCTGGGTCTACGAACCTAGAGGGTCCCTCTGTAGTACCATTATGGGATTAGTGTACCCGAAAACCCTATGTGGTATGGTTTTTGGGTACCTACCTCCATAAAAGTACTACATATGGACCCTCTTGAGAACTGTTGAGATCTCAAAAAAGGCGCGTCTCGTACAGGTGTCTGCACGAGCTGTGTGGAATGGGACGCTGCTTCCAAGGAACCACGGAAAGAACAAAAAGCGCAGCGCAAATATACTCTACGCCAGAGCTCTACAAGCTCCCATGTATCGGTTTCTGAGGGTTCGCTTAATAAAGACTGTAGGGGTTTCTCGTTCGAAGCATGGGTTTAGGGCTTGTTGTTGTTTATGGCTTACAGGGTTGAGGGTTTAGGGTTTAGGGTTTACGGTTTCGGGTTTAGGGTCTAGGCTCCAGGGTCCAGGGTTCAGGGTTTTGGAGCTCTTTGGCACAGGGCTGCACGTGCCAGGGCCGCTAGGGTGTCCCCCCCTTGCACCTTCCGACTGTGTCTTGCCATGTCGTCCCCGAGGCCTCATTCTGACTTTCCGACACATCCAGCATGGACACAGGTGAGGGATATGTTTACGTTCGCCAGGGATAATGCCAATCTGCAGGATGGATGCGTTGCCTGTTTTGATTTGGACCTGCTGGGCTCCCCCGTGGATGCTGGTGATGGCATGCTGTTGCGGGCCCGCGTTGTCCAAACAGCCCACGTCTGGTGCACGAACAGCCAAGCTGCAAATGTTGAGATAGCTGTTGATGACCGGAAGGTGTTGCTACGCCTCCGACGATGTGATTATTACGCAGTGGCTCAGCATGCTTCCAAAGTCCGTGTTGCGTGGGTTGTTGCAAGGCCCTCCCCTGGGGCAGTGATCCTTGATGCCACTGTGGGACACGCCTTTGTCATTGCGAATTGTGTGGTGCGACAGGACAGCACAGTGCATGTTGCAGAGGTCTTTAGTGGGGGTTTCTGCGGATGGTCCCAAGCAGCATGGCGCATGAGTGCCATGGGTGTGCCCATCCGCACGTCCTGGCTTTTGGACGATGATACCAAGCTCGTTAACCCAGAAAGCCTGGTGAATGCCTGCCTTCAGGACTGCACCCGCAGTGGCCGGGCCTCATTCCTGAAGGTCACACACGCATGGCAGCTTGGCCACCTTGATCGGGTTGAAGTCTTGATGGCCCGTGAGGCCCTGCGTGCCGAGATTGACTTTGGCCTTTGCAGGTCCCCGTGTGCCATGCATCGCTTGCAAGTCTTTGCGCCACCCCCGGATGATACTCAGAGTTGACCAAGTGCTTGATGCTTTAGGGTTCGACGTGCAGTGCCCGGGCATCCAGGTTGCTGAGGCCTGTTTCCCCGTGCAGGCGTGCCACACGGGCCGTCCCTTGTCTTGTGTCGGTGCTGTGTACCAAGTCACCCAGGCTAGCCCTAAGTTCCCCCATATAGACCTTGACACGCGACCGCGCCCTAATGCTAAGGTTTTAGTTGTAGCCTCCCCCCAGGGTCTTGCATGCCTGATGCGCGACAGCAGTGATGTCTTTGCGCAACTAAGGGCTGTTCTTCAGCCGGAGCATCCCCAGCTAACGGATGCACAGGTTTTTACTGACGTACATGGCCGAATCCTGCACAGACTTTCAGACATGCCCACCTGCGTGTGCCTTCTCCCTGCGAGTGAGCCTTTGCTTCCTGGCTTGCCGGCGTTGTCAGGCAATGAGGTGTGTGCGGCCCTGTTGACCAACCGCCAGGCGCCTTACCACTTTGCGATCCCAGCTGGTGCTGCCACAGCGTGGTACGCGCGCTTCCCCACAGTACTGCTTGAGCGCCTTGGATGGGACAGTGAGTTTGGACCGCTCCCAAACGCCGCAGGGGAGCAGCTGCATCTGACCATCCGTGCCAGTAAGCGCCCCTTGCTGGTGCCTCTTGCCGGCATGCTGGACTACCTTCGCTGCACTCTCTTCCTGGGACAGCTGCGCATGCTCGTGCAAACATCCACGGGAGCAACTGTGATGACTGAACTTCAAGTCAATGCCCACACGGTGTCAGTACTTGCCTTGCCTGCTACCATGCCTACTGCAGCCGTTGCCCAATGCTGGGAGAATGCATCGTATTGCTTGGCCTTGGGCCCGGGGGTCCGTGTCTTCTCGGGGCCCTTCCCTCTACCAATCGACGCCGTGCTCGGCCATATCTCTGGTCAGGCGTTGCACCGTGCCGGGGGTGGACCACTTGTGCTTAGCGTGATGCCTGAGGTCCGAGGAGGAGGAGCCAAGGACGCTAACATCCAATTAGCTAAGACCCGCCTTGCCACAGTTTTGCTTGATAGGGGTATAGCCCTGCACGCTGCGCAGTGGATAAGCTGATAGGAGCCAGGGGAGCAGCTGCGTGCCTCCAACAGGTCCAGGCCACTGACTTGCACCAGCGCTGGGAGGCCTTGACAGCGTTTGCGGCAGGGGCAGGCGTTACACTCCCGGAAGGAGACAATCGAGCCACGAAGGCGGCAGTCCGCATCCAGCGGGCTGTCCAAAGACGCAAGCTCCACAATCTGCCTACACCCGGTGCCAAGGACTTCTACATAGCCCCGGACATTTGGTGCGGTGTGGACGGCAACCCCGTCCCCATCATCCGATCCATCAGCCAAGGTGCCAGTGGGGTGATCCTGATGGACGCCGCACAGGCACGCAAGGAGGACTTGGCCCTGCTCCGTGAGATGAAAGCAGATAGCCTGTGCGTGCTGAGCCGGACCGCTGCGCCGGCAAAGTGAGCGTGTCTGCTACACATGCCACCACCCAGGAGCCTCATTTGCTTGCCGCCTGCATGCACAACGTGGGCACCACAGAAGTTAGGCCAAAGTACAAGCAACAGGCCACTGTAACTGTAGAGGGGATGACGTGTTGCTCCTTCAGCATGTACAGGGATGACTTAGCCGACGGTCAGGATTGGCAGACCATTGCCAAGCAACCAGTCCGGGAGGCGCAGCAAGCCTTCACAGCGCCAGGGCAGGACCGCACCCTTGTTCACCCATGGGGCCGCTCTTTTCGTGCTGATGGCAAGGCCTCTCTGCCGCAGGCGTCCGACTCCATCCAGTTTCATGCCAAGGTACCAGACGCTCAACTCCCCGCTGTCTTGCGCAAAAGTGGCTTCAACCATGTGTACGTGCTGCCAAAAAGCTGGGAGGACTCCAGGCCGCTCCCGGAATGGGCCATTGTCTGGCTGCCTGGTGGCCGGAGCGAGGCAGAGAGGCTAGCACTTTTGGTCCCCCACCAACATGGCCTTGTGCGAGGTCGCAATCGCTATGGCCTGCGTGTGCCAGCTGCCGAGTTCTCGGCAACCTTCAAACAACTGCGACCTGCCGACGCTGTGCCAGAAAATATCCAAGTCCGCCTCTTGTTTAAGGTAGGCCCGCTACCAGCCAAAGCTTCCCAGGAGGAGTTGGCTCAATGGGCAGGCAAGCTAGGCTGGAAGGTGAAGGTGTTGAAAATGTTGGGGCCAGCGCACTGGCTAGTTGGCTCAGCCTCCTCACCACCAACCACACTGCCTACGTTCAATGACTGCCCAGTGCTCATAGCGGCAGTCCCTTCACGTGCGGCTGCCAAACCAGTCGTGCAAGCTGGACGATTGCCAGACCTGCCTGCCTCTGCTCCTGCAACATCCTCGCAGACTTTCGCTGGCGACGCCTCACACCCAACGGACCCTTGGGGCGCTTACCTGCAGCAGCAAGGCCGCGCCATCCGTCCGCCGCAACAGCCTACCAGCCTGAAGGCCAATCCTGGGGAGGTTCAATTGCAGGCGCAGGTCTCAGGTCAGGATAAGCGTATAGCTGCACTGGAGCTCGGCATGGCCAGGTTGCAATCGGCAGTCGAGACTGAGTCCAAGCACAGAGCCCATGACCAGCAACAACACCAGGAGGACATGACAGCTGTGCGAGGAGAACTGCAACAGCTCGGGGCTAGCCTGAGTGCGCAGTTCCAACATAGTCTTGAGTCCCTGCAGGCAGCCCAACGCCAGCAGGAATCCCAAATGCAGACAGGCCTGAATGAACTCAAGCAGCTCATCCTTGCCCAGAGCGAGAACAAGCGCCCGCGCACGGGCGGTGCTGGGGATGCCCTCTGACTACTACTGGGGTGGGGTCGTTGGGTGCGTGCTGGCACCAAAGGCCCTCAAAAGCGGTCCCTAGACAACATTGACCTTGACCCCTGTTCCTCCAGCACATGCCCCACAGCCGGCATTCACCACTCTGACAGGGCCTACCCCGGGCATCTTGGTATGCATGTGGCCTGGTTTGTGCCCCTCCCTTTTTGCTTTAGTTTTGTGGCTTTCTTGGCCTTGCTACACACCTTTCCCGCAAGGGAACGTGCCACTTCTGGCCCAAGTCCGGGTTTTGGAGCCCGGCATGGAAACCTGGGCCTGATGTGGGCTTTTCCTTGCATTTCGCACTGCAGTAATGGTGCCTGGTCACCCTCTGTCAACAGTTTCCGTGACCCTTTTGAAAGCCCCAGCTGCTCGCTGACTTCCGTCTGGTTGGTGATTGCTGGCGCTTCTAGATGGTGCGGGTGGCCAACACATGGCCTGCGCATCGGTGAGGCCTCCCATCCAGGTCCGGCCCAGCAACTTCTCCTCTCCACGTTCTTTCCGCAGACAACCTGCCCAACAAGGCCCACTCCTCCGCCCCGCCGCCGACCACGTCCGCCGACACCAGGCCACATCTGCGACATTGCTGTGCTGAATCCCACATCCATTCTGCACAAAGCCGCCCTTGTAAGCCGCGTTGGTGCCCACATCCTGTGCGTGTCGGAAACCTCCGCGGTTGCTAGAGCTCAGCAGATTGAGGGAGTGGCCCTTCGTCGCCAGGGGTACACCTCCAGATGGGGGCACCCGGTCGCCCCCCATACCCGTGACGGTCAGGCGCACGACACGCTTCGGGGAATGGCCAGCGGGGTTGCCATCCTTAGCACCCTCCCATCCAGACCGTCTGTGACACCGCTGCCCGCTGAGCCGTACCAGGCGGGCAGATTGTGTGAAAGTTTCATTCGGATTGGGGCCATGGAGGTTCGATTCTTGGCGGTCTACGGCACGCCGGCGAATAACCCCAAGGCACGTGAGCTGAACCAGACCTTGCTGCAGACTGCTTTCGACCGTGCCACTGCTAATCGTATCCCGTGCGTGATTGCGGGGGATTTTAATACTGACCCGCTTGCCCTCCCTGCCGGTGAGCTCTTCCGGGCGCGAGGGTACCGCGAGGCTTTTGAGCTGGCCTACGCCCAGACGGGACTGGAGCTACCGCCAACATGCAAAGGTGCCACACGACATGACACCATGTTGCTGCACCCTGCCTTGGTGGCGCTGTGGGATAGTGCCTCTGTCCTTGTGCACTGTCACCTGTTTGATGCCCATGCGCCTCTCGTTGTGCGACTACACACACCCCAGCAGCTGCCTTGCCTTCATCGCTGGACGTTGCCAAAGCCATGGGCCCAGTACAATCCTGACCCTGCCCTTCTTGCCAGTCAATGTGAGACCCGGTGTCCTGCCGTGATCGCGCAGGCTGAGCGATGCCAAACGGTTGATGACGTTGACAAATGCTTCCGCTCCTGGTCCCAGACCATCGAGCATGCTGTGGACGCCTGCCTTAGCCGCCAGCACAGTGAGGACCCCATTGCGCAGCCGCAGCCCGGCCTCTTGCCAAAGGAGTGTGGACGTTGCATGCCGCGGACTTTGACCCCGTGCCCCATGCCACAGCTCTTCCGCCAAGCGCGGGATGGGGATTACCAGCCTGACCAGGAGGCCACGTCCTATTTGAGCCAGATGCGCGTTAAACAAGTACGTCGCGTGCAGACCCTGCTCCGCACTACCCAGGCTTTCACCCGTGGCGGTCGCTCGCCTGACCTCAGCCAACAAACCGAGCTTGACCAGCAATGGCGTGCCATACTCAGAGGCAAGGGGTATGGTATGCCTTTCGGCCATTGGTTACTGGGGATTGCTATCTTCCCGCTTAGCCCACCAAGCCAGGAGTGGCTCACCACCTGCCTTGCATACCTGCAGCATGACTGCAGGGCCCTTGTGCGTCAGGAGGCTAAACGCAGGCATGACTTGTTCAAGTACCGGCTGGAAATGGATAGGAAGCACGGTTCCTCCACCCAGGGGTTCGCGGCCATGCGACCGGACCAACATCCCCCAATCACGTGCGTCCAAGCCCCCATTTCCTGCAAAGCTGTCTTTCACCAGCAGATAGGACCGCAGACGTACCGCTACAAGCTGGACGCTGGGGTGCACCTTGAGCCTTGGCAGGATTTTCTAGTCTACAATCAGCGCTGCGCTGGCAGGGCCCAACAGGACGGCTTTGTCGACTTTGAGTGCGAACACAAACCCCCCTGTGAGGTCCAGGTGCAGCAGGAGAAATTTGCTACCGCGCCCCATGAACTAACTGCGGCCTTCACTGCCTTCTGGGGGCCCCTCTGGCAGCGGGATAGCCCTGACCAAGCTGCATCTCTACACGAGTGGCCCGCGTTCACCAGGCTGATTGAGCGCTTTGGGCCTGCCCTCCCTGCCATTGACGTGCGTCTTGATCGGGTCGAGTTGTGGCAGGAGGTCCTCCGTGACATGCCGGCCCGTAAGGCTACCGGCATCTGTGGCTGGGCGCCGGCTGAGCTTAAACAGCTTCCAACACCTGCCATTGCGGCCCTTACCAAGGTGTTTGCTGCGGCCGTGCGTTGTGGCATGCCTGCGCATCTCATGCAGGCTAGGGTGTGCGTCCTTGCCAAGGTCCAGGCTCCCACCTCTATGCGACAGAGCCGTCCCATACTTGTCCTGAGCACGCTCTATGGACTGTGGTCTTCAGTCCTCACACGTCAGGTCTTGTCTGAGTACGGTCGCCGCTTCTCCAGGGCGGTTATGGGTTCACTGCCAGGGCGCTCCGCCCCTGACCTCTACATCCGCCAGCAACACGCCATCGAGGTTGCCAAGATGAGCAATGACCCACTCCTTGGCGCCAGCATAGACATTGTGAAGTGTTTCAACCAACTCCCGTGGCCGCCTCTAAGATTCCTGCTGTGCTGGTACTTTGGGGCCTGGTGCATGCGGTTGATTGCCTCCTCGGTACCGTTGCCGCCCACATCCACACATACGTTGACAACTGGTCCTGGCATGCCTCCACGCCGGATGCCTTCAGTATTGCCACACAAGAGGTCCTGGCTTTCTTGACAGCAGTGAAACTTCCTGTCGATTGGGTCAAATCCTACGGGTGGGCCACCAAGGGGTCCCTCCGTACCTGGCTGACTACCACATGGCAGGCGTGTTTCCCTGAGGGTGTTGAGGTCCCTGTTGTCACCAGCGCAAAAGAACTGGGGGCCGCTTACCAGTTTGACCGCCGCAACCATGCTCAGGTGCGACGTGACAAGAAGGAGGCTGGCATGGCGCGTCTGCGCCGGCTTGAAAAGCAGGAGCGGCCTCTGCTGAACAAGGCCCACTTGATCCAGACGAGCGTCTGGCCGTCTTGCATGTTCGGCACCGAGGGCGCCTGCTTTAGCAAGAAGGACTTCGCTGACCTGCGAGGCCTGGCCGCCGCTGCGCTCGTTGGGCCCTGCCGTGCGAAGTCCCCTTACCTAGCCCTGACGTGCCTTCATGACGCACTGCAGGACCCGGAGCACTACGCGCTTGAGCAACAAGTTCAGGCCCTACGCCGGCTGATGCAGGTTGATACCAGTACTGCCACTTCCATGCTTGCTGTCGCAACTGCAACAGAGCCCGCCCAGGTCTCCGTTCAAGGGCCAGCCACTGCCTTGGTCCGCGCACTTGCGGCCGTTAACCTACGCATAGACCTTGACGGAGTCATCAAGTGTCCGGACAACACCAGGATACGGCTCTGGACAGCCAACCGGTATGAGGTCCGCCAGGGACTTGCCCGTGCCTGGAACCACCACGTTGAGCACCAGGTAGCTCACCGCAAGGGTCTGCATGCTGCCGGCACACCCATGCCCACCGAAACTGCGGCCATTCTTCGCCGCTTCACCGCCACGGAGGTCGCCGTTGTGTCCAAGTACATCACCGGGGCCTTTTACTCAGGCATGACCAAACAAAAGTGGGACCCAGCCAATCCTGCTGCTTGCCCGCTGTGTGGTAGACCTGACCACAAAGCACATCGGCTACTGGAGTGCACAGCCTTGAGTGAGGTACGTGAGCCCTGGCTGCCATGGATTCACCCGATCCTGGAAGAGTGGCCCCACTGGACACACGGACCATACGCCGTCCAGCCCCCTTCGGTTGAGGTTCCTAGGTTAGTCTTTGCCACCCGTAAGTTGGTTCCCCCGCAAAATGCACCTGCCCTTGCCTCCGTGCAACGCCTACCTACTTTGCGGCTCTTCACCGATGGCTCCTGCAGGCACCCAACCACCCCTATCGCGAGCCATGCTGGCTATGGGGTTGTCATGGACACGGCCCAGGGTGAGCATGACCAAAAGACACCGCATTGAAGCTTGGAGGGTAGGAGCACCTGTCCTTAGCCTTTTCTCGGTTGTTGATAGGGGTTTAGTGCCAGGGGTTCAGACCATCACCCGTGCTGAGTTGTGCGCCCTCGTACAAGCGCTGCGCTTTGCCCGCGTGAGTGGCCACGCAGACGTGCACATTTTCACAGATAGTCAGGTTGCCCTTAGTGAGGTCCGTAGGGTTGTAGCAGGGGGTAGCCCACACTTTCCTGAGTTCGCTGAGGCCATCCGAGAAGCATGGTCCCTGGCTGTGACACTCCGCAAAATTAAGGCCTACCGGGATCTTGATAGCTTGCAGGGTCAGGAACTGTGGGATGCGTTGGGCAATGCAAGCGCGGATGCTGCAGCAAAAGCTGCAGTTCGAGCCGACATGCAGCTTGTCAGCACCATGGTGGACCAAGTTGCTGAGTGGGTCACCCGACAGCGTGATGCGTTGCTCCTGTACTACCGCTTCGTGCTGGCCATATCTGGCGAGGACAACAGGCTACGGACGCAGGCTGGTCAGCGTGCCCAGTCACTAGAGCCGGTCCTTGACACTGAGGTCCCGACAGAGACAACGCGACAGTGGGAGGAATGGAAGGCCCTAGGACGTGACCACAGCATCCGTTGGGGAGTGCCGCCTTTTCAGCGTGACTG